AACTCGAATCAGCGAACTAAACGGGCCCTAAATAACAAAATAGGAGACTAAATCAACACAAAATATGGAACTCAATAAAGGGAAACTACAATAATAACATAAATCCCTAATTAATAAAATTAAATAAATAGTTTAATGTTGTTCCGCATCAATGCCACAAAGCTAAGACCAATGAAAGAATATGTCCTAAATCACTACTATATGAATACTTCCTCAACAGCACCTCATCCGTACGTTCCAAAGACATGTATAAATAAATATATCTATCTATCTTTTAGTATATCACAAAAATTATTAAATTCAAACCCTAGGAGCATTATCATTATGGTGAAAAATTTTGCAATTGTGGAGAGCAGTTTATTCATGCAGGTTTTATACATCAAGGAGTAAGAACAACTGAGAAAAATTGAAGAAAAGTTGGGCTCATATATCGTGAAATCATGAAAAAAAAAATTAGTAAAGTGCATAATACACAAACAGACCTAGGCGTCACTCCAATTCCCTTCACGGGAGGCTGTGCATCCTTCACAGTGCATGTTGCGTGCTTTGGAACTGATGCAGATAAAGGAATTCCGTTATAAACCTCCACTTTAACCTTCATGTCATCTGTTGACAACAAATATCAGTTTAATTGAAAAACAATTACAATCACCAGATAGGTGTTTTAAATTCTAGAATAAATAATCCAAGAAACGAAGAAACAAAAGAAGGTATGAAATATAATGCAAGTCAACCTTGTAGATACTTGGCCTTCTTTCCAAACAAGTCTGTATGCACTTCCAGCTGATCAAGGGTATCAGGGCTGGTAAGAATAACAAAGACGAAGAACATACATTAAACTTGAAAGAAGCAGCCTTAGAAGTTCAGAATAGAGGGAAGAAAATCAAAACTTAGAACTCACTCCATCAACAACATTTTGCCATCACGGTCCGTACACATATAAATGTAACTTTTCACCTCAACAAACACTTCTGCAGCAAATAATTCATATGAGATCTAATACAAAAATAGTCACTCAACTGATCTTCAACTAGACAACTATCAAGGGAACTAAACATTCTAAGCCAGTTGATCAATCTAAAATTCAACCATCCACACAAATGACGCGGGAGATCAATAGGAAGTTACATGAGTTCTGAATCATACTTTCAACTGCTTCATCTGTACCAAATCGCTGGATTACCTTGTTTCCACAATCAACATCACGAAGCTCGACCTGCATTTAGAGCAGCTCAAGTTTCATTTTGAAAGTAAACAATAGTTACGAATTCATCATAATGAATATGCAGAAATACTAGCACAACCATCGCAGTCAATGTTATAAATGACAACATCTAAAAAAAATAAGTGAATAAAATTGTTATGCACATCATAAGGACTTAACCAAAACAATTAAAAAATAAAAAATACCTGTTCAAAACTGTTACTAAAATAATAATGAAATTATTATACAACCAAGCACCTTAAGAACAAAATCGTAAATTGATGACCGCTTTCAGCAACATTAACAAAGTTTCTTATCTAAAAAAAATCCAAACAACAAGATCTGGTTTTGTACTCCTTGCAGTTTCACCAAATAGTACAATTTGTCACCGTATTTGCAGTTTCCTTTCGCTGATCCTAGGCTCTTTTTTCATCATTTCCCAAGTGGTTCTTTCTCTTTCATGGTAACAATCATTACAAAAATCTATATCCATTTCCAACTCCAACTTTTTTCTTTCCGCGTGCATCCTCCACCACAGGGTCTCTAATGCAGTGGTATACGTGATAATATTTTTGGAATTGGGATAATCATTATGAGCCCGTTTGTTTCATATACTCAAACTCAAATCATTGATTCTGCTACTGTTAGGATCCTAGTTGTTTAGCTAATAAGATTTTCCAACAATTCCAATAGACTGAAATCCAACTGATAGCCTTTTATTGAATTAAATCACTTAAC